GAGCAGCACAGCGTCCACCGCCCGGTGCGGCATTTGACCAGTGGCGAGCCCACAACGACAACAACAACAACAACAACAAGGCCTACAAGACCGTGCCGGAGGTGCCACCGCAGCGCGCGCAAGACCTCTCCCCCTTTTCCTCCCTTCGCTTCAGTTGTTCTTTGGCAGCGGAAGTCACCCCGTCCCCCCTTCTTTCACACACACACACACACACACACACACACCTACACAGCGGAGCAGTCGCATTCGGGCGTCGCGATAAGATAACCTGGCCGACACCGAGAACTGTTTGTACGGCGGGCTCATTTAAATACCGTAGATTGTTTTACGAAAATAAATAACGACGATACACTGTCGGGGGGAGTGGGCGGGCTGTGGGGCCAGGGGAAAGGGGAAGGGGGAACCCGTTCCGTTGTAACCCTTCACACCTGGAACCGTATACCCGCCCGCCGTTTAAAAAAAAAGAAACCAAAAACAGTGACATTTTTGGATTTGTTTGATCGACATCGGCTGGAATGAAATTGATTTCCAGTCGCCGGGGTTCTCTGTAGGCGGTTGCGGCATGTGTTCTCTGTCTCTTTTTGTTCCCCGAGTTGATTGCCGCCGCCGCCGATTGGTTCCGTTCGTTTGGTCGTTACTGGAGGCGTTCCAGAGCCGTTCCGGAGGCGTTACTGTCCGCGGCGCCTCGCCGTTGCAGTCCCTCACTGCGAGTCGAATGGGGCGATCCGGACGCCCACAAGTACACGGCGCCCGTCCTCTGTGTGTGTGTGTGTGTGTGTGTGTCTGTGTTTGTGTGTGTCTGTGCAGGAAACAGTCACAAAAACACGGGCCAGACGGACTAGACGAGTCTGGACCAATTTGACCGTTCGATGATTCTTTGGAGCCCCCTTTTTAGTCTGGACCAATTTGACCGTTCGATGATTCTTTGGAGCCCCCTTTTTTTCGGGTTCCTCTCCTCTGGCCCTAATTTAATCATTTGCCTCCACGGCAGTGACTGGCGTGGGCCTCGTCAAATGTCGCGCGTCTCCGCGGTGGCCGAAATTGCCTTTCCCGCCTGCTGCCGCTCCAGCCGCTCCAGGATGACAAACGATGCGAGGAGTACCATCTTTTTCGACAGTGGCGCGGCCGTGGCCACCCCCCGCGCCATGCGCGACCGACCGGGAAATACAAAACTAATGATTTAGCAGCGCGGCCCCCCTTTATCTCCTCATCTCCCCGGCCACTCTCCTCTCTTCTCCTCTCCTCTCCTTCCTCTCTCCCTCTCCTCTCACTCCTCTCTCCTCTCCTCTTCTCTCGCACCGCCCGGAGCCCCCCCCAGGGGAGGCGAGTGAGACAGTGTCTTGGTCATCGCGCGAGGAGGTGCGCTGCTGTCCGCCGGAGAAAATGACCCCAAAGGGCTCCTCCGGCGGGGCTGGGCTGCACCGTAAAAATTTGTCGTCACTTTATGAAAAAAAAACGTGGATAACATTTTGATCACAAAGTGATGAAATTTTTTTCAAAGCTCCTATATCTATTGAATGGGCGGGATAAAAATTGTCATTAACAAGTTAGCCTTAAAATCGGCGTCAAGTGACAACCAAAAAATTTTACAGTGCACCCAAGTGCCGACAGTGGTAGGCAGCTCGGCCGCCCCGCCGCGCCACGGCCATGATGGAGGCAGATAAAAGTAGGGAAAATATGGAAAGGCCAATCAAAACTTTTTAAATCTTGGCTAACCGCATCCGAGCGGCGGCAGCGACTGGGACGGGTGCGATGACTTGTGGCGGTGTGGACAAAGAGGCCTCTACCTCTTTTCAGAAATGACGATAAATATACCGATTGAGACATCGCCGTGCTCGCCGCACCCGGCAGGGTTTGGGTTCAAATACCCGATATTTTTAAGCTACCGCCATTAAAAAAGAAAAACTTAATTTTGGCAAGTACGGAAGGTCAGAGGGAACTGCCCCAAAGGGGTCCGCAATCTGCGCTCGGACGGCGCGCGGGGCGTTGTCGGGCGTGGCGTGGGGGGCTTGGAGAGAAAGAGGGTACGCAAGGTTAAGGTCGGGCTTGTTCCCCCACCCCACCCCGTATTGAGCGCCCCCCCCCCCCCTTCTGGGAGCCAATATCGAAATACCTGCGGTGTAGTGGCTTCGCGCGCTGCCCCGCCCAATCCACTTCCACATTCAGCGATGTGTTGTACAACGAGAATAGAACGCCGAGGTTTTTCTCTCTCCGTCTCTCTCCCTCTTGCTTGCGAGTCTCTCTTTCTCTCTTGTCCCGCCGAAATCCACACCGGCACACCAGGGACCCGGAAGGAGCGAGCGTGTACGCTGTCTCCACACTGGGTCAATGTGATTCTTTTGCCTCACGTTTGGAATTGGTGATGTGCCAATGAGCGCCGTGGGAAAGGCGCACGTGTCACACACACAACCAAAAAACAAACACCGGTGTCACTAACCGCAGCGCCGCCCAAAACCCCGAACTATCGCATAGGGAAGTCGTCGAACGGGGGGAATACGAGCCGGGTGGAAACTCTATCACGCCGTCCGCGACGTCCGCTGCTGCTGTTCAAGTTCAAGAGCTTGCTATAGGGGTTCCAACTCGCGGCCTGTGGGTGGGAGGGCCCCTTTGTGTCCGTCGGACACCACACACGGATCATGAGGGAGGCGAGTGAGCGGAAACAGCCTCAAAAGCGAGGACCTCACACCTGCTGCAACGGGCTATAGCGACAAACCGCATTTATCATCATCAAAAAATCGAGCCAGGTAGGGAGGACGCGAGTAAAATGGAGATGGAATGACGGAAGAAGAAGAAGAAGAAGAAGAAGAAGAAAAGAAGAAGAAGAAGAAGAAGAAGAAGAAGAAGAAGAAAGGGGAGATGAGGTGGACACTTGGTTGAGCACCACTGGATTTATGTGCGAACACCAGACTCGGAACCGCAAGGCGCGCACGGGCCAAACGCCTTGTTTTTGTTTTGTTTGTTGTTGTTGTTGTTGTTGTTGTTGTTGTTTTTGTTGTCGCGAATGCAGTTTCTTGCGTGCCGTCGCGTAATGAGATTGCAGCCCTCTCGGTGCACGCGATGCAAGGGCGTTGCAGGGCCTAACCCTTTTCTGTCTGGGCCTAAGTTCCCAAGAGATTTGCAAACGAGTCTACGCTACCTTGCTGGTGTTTTTACTTTCTTTTTCTGGCGGGTTGTTCTGGATAAAGCGAAACCGACTTCGAGTCGTGACAGTAATTCGCATGTCCCCGCCACCCCCGTCCACAACTTTGAAAATCCTCACGGGACGGAATCGTCTTTTTCGTCTGCTTAGTTTGTTTACTTTATTTTCTTTGACAGCCCTAGTGTGTGCGTAGCCCGGCGCAGCCCGGCGAAGGGCGCAGCCCCAGGACCTCTTTTGCATTTCTTTCGTGACGTCACTCGAAAAACTTGGCAGACGCGACAAGTTTCTTTCCCCCTTTCTGCTGGAGTTTGGCTCGCATTGCACTTATTCAATTATGAGTAGTGAAAGCATTGGGTCTCGCTTCATCCAATAAGTCGCCCTGTGCGTGCTTACAGTGCAGACGACGGAAGCCTCTGGCGCAAAGCGGATGAAACAAGTTTGGGAAACGCGCCGCGTGCGTTGGCAGTGTAGCAGTAAGACGTTGTCTTTGTCGCTCTCACTGTTCGACGGTCTTGGCGGCTTGGCTCTGATCCCGGCGCGGCCTCGCGGTTTTAAAAAGTCGTTGGGATTGGGCGGGGCCGGCTTCCAGTGTGGTGGGTGTGGGCCGCTCGCGTGGAGGCACTGGTAGTTTTTTTTCCCGACCGATTTCGTCCCGATTTAATTACCCCGGGACTAGGAGAGCGTTTTACGTACCCCCCTGAAAGCGAAGTCGCCTCCAGACGCGCCGCGGTCAGCGTGTGGTGGGAAAGACCGGGACGCGCGTTCCAGCTAGCCGGGTCACTCGGGTCTTAATTGGGCGATTGGGACATCAGGGCCTGTCCAATCAGGGGCCCGAAAAGCAAACACGACGTGTGATGCATGCGCTCACGAGGAGAGAGTGAGAATGGAACCATACCGGATCCGGTGACCCTTTGTTAGTGCGGGTTCGCGCTTTGGTCGAATCTGTTCTCGATAAATAGGCAACTGCTCCCGTTGCCTGTCACTGGCCAGCTGCTTGCTAGACGGGCCCCTGCGATCCCCCCCTCCCTCCCCCCTTAACGTCGCCCCGGCGTCGCCCCTGCGTCGCCCCTCGCAGCCGGCCGGTCCAGGTAACACAGGTAATACCGGCATCCTTGTCCATTCAGCGGCACAGCACAGCCCGGCTCACTCACTCTACTTTTCTTTTCTTTATTTTTTGTCCGAGGCGGCAGCAGCTTCGCTCCGGTGCTCCGGTGAGGCTGCCGCCGCCTGCACGAACTACTGCCTACTCCGTCTCCTACATACTCATCGCCGGCAACGAACTGAGTCAGCAACACGTCACAGCCACGTGGTCGTCTCGCGTGCTCGTGTGTGTGTGTGTGTGTGTGTGTGTGTGTGTGTGTGTGTGTGTGTGTGTGTGTGTGTGTGTAGCAATAGCGTTTGCGCGCCAAAGTCGGGGGGTTGACCCACGGTCCAATTTTCTAGTGTCACTCTGATTGTGGGAATGCGTGTGTGGGATTCCTGGCTGTATTGGCCTCTCAGTTTGCCGAGCGTCGTCTCTCGAGCGAGTCCATATTTTGCCTCTCACTCTGGCCAAGTCGTTTGGGTGAACTGAGTGCGTCGCCCTATGCCGGCGGCACTGCAGACGGTCTGCGAACTGGCGACTCCAACCTCGCCGGGTGACAGTCGCCCAATGTGTCAGCAAAGTGAGCGTGGGCGTTGCAGTGTGGTGGGCAGGAGCGTCTCTGTCTAGCGGCGCAATTTGCGACCGTGACAGCGACCAAATCAGCACCGGCACACTGTGGAACTTGTCACCGAATTCCAGTGTGTCAGCGACGAGTGGATGTGGATGTGAAGGACAGAGTCGGACACGCACTCTTTATTGCCTTTCGCCCTGTCGTACCTGGTGTCGTTGAAACTAAAGTCGTCGAATATCTTGAGGTATCCAAAATAATGCGCGATGGTTAATCCTTTTTTTTGTGGGGCACACTGCGTTAGCAACGCATTCACACACACAGGCACACTGGTCACTGCACTGTGGAGCCTCGCCGCGACGTGCACTCGGTTCGCTCGCGACGTCGCCCCGCGGTCGCTGCGCGCTTCGCGGGCTCGGAAGGCGCGCCTCTGCGAGGCGTGGCTGTACGGGGACCTCGCCGGCTCGCTGCTCCGGCTCGACTGGCTTGCTTGCCCTGCCTGGCTCTGGGCTGGCGGCGCGGACGAGCCAGCGCTGCCTGTATCAGGCCGGTTTGCCGCGGCCCGAGCGGCGTCCCCCCCCCCCCCACCCCCCGGCGTCGCGGCGCCCCTCCACGCCACCCCCTGGCTGGCGCGCTGGAGGCGGCCGGGGCCTAACTGCGAATTTGTTTCCGACTGCCAACTTTTGGAAGGAAATCGACGGAAACGGCAAAGTTTTTTCGGGGGTCACCGGCCCGGGACATTTTTCTCGCATGTGGAATTAATTAGTCAAATCGCTAATTTGAATTTTAGGGTGTGCCCCCTGTTTGTAGCAGATGATACCTTTACCTACTTCAAAACATACCCAGAACAATACAATACACTTTAAGGTGTCAGCTGGCTTTTATTTAAAAAACATTTTTGCGGCTAAAATTTTCATTTCGCAAATACATTTTTGAATTTTGCTAAATTTTGGGTACTTTTAAGGCTTTTTACCGGATTTGTATTCGCCTCATTCCCGCGTCCATAAGAAATGATGGCTGAAAGTGCAAGTAAACTTGTTGACGACGAGACTATGAAACTGAAGGCCGTCCATCTTTGCGGTGGATGACACAGACTTGCACACCACCACTTGCATTCCTCGATGTGGCAACGGCCAGACTTCTTCTTGCTTCTCGGCGTGAAAACAGCTGCATATTTTTTTTTTCACGATTTATTTCCCCTCTTTCTTTACCCCTTTTGACTCGTCATTACCGCACGGCCCAATAAGCTTTATCTGCGGCTGGACACGCTGGACCGGTGTTCCAGGAAGGCGCGTCCACCTCGTCAGCAGCAGATTCCGAGACTGGAGAAGACACCGCAGCGCGCAGCCTAGCCGCGTCGCGGTTTCGGTCGCGAAGCGCCAACACTTGGAGAGAAAGAAAGTTACAATTTGTTTATTTTCACTCCGGTCTTTTTTTTTTAATTTAAAAAAAAAAATTTTAAATTTTTTTTTAATTTTTTTTTTTAATTTTTTAATTTTTTTTTATTTTTTTTAAATTTTTTTTTAAATTTTGTTTTTAATTTTTTTTTTTTGGCTGTGCGTGTGACCAGCACTTAATTGCCCTTCGAATCGGCTTAGCGCTGTCACGCCTCGTCACGACGGGCCATTCATCAAACCTCGCCGTGTGACCGGCCGGGACGATCGACTCAACCAGACAGAAATCAAAAGACGAAGAGAAAAGAGTTGTCATCTGGCAGTGTAAAAGTCCACGTGGGGACACAGCAGCGTTCTGCGCGGGTTCGCGTGACGCGCTGGCGGTCTCGTGACGACGATGTCGGCTTGCATAGTCGCTTGATTCCCCGATCGTTTTGGATGCACTTGAAAAGCAGCCACTATGCGGCCAGCCTCGCTAGCCCGGCCAGGCCGCGGCATGAGTTGCCGGTCGTTTGACCTTGGGCTGGAGCCCGCGCTGCCCGCGCTGCAGACCGAGTCCGCGAGTCGTCGCTCTGTCTCTCTCGCACCCGTTGCGGAAGCCTCGTGAGTGCGAGAGAGACAGAGCGACAAAAGCGACTCTCGCACATTCGTACAGCCCGGTCCGGTTGGCCACTCGGCCATATCCTCCGACTCATTTGTCTCAGTCTAAGTCCGAGCTGAGACTGTGAAAGCCAGTCCAGAATCGCAAACGGGACCCGCCCCTAAGCGCGGCCAGTTGGACGCAGTCTCGGACGATGCCCCTCGACGCCCCACGGATTGCTCTCTCGAACTGCGTCTGCCTCTCTCGCACTGCAGTGGCACGCCATCACACTGAGAACATTGCGCTTCATGAAGCGAGTAGTCGAACTTCCTTCTCTTGAAGCTTACAAGAGATACGCTTTAGTTGTGCCAGTGTGACAGAGCTTTGAATCACGTGACACAATGTGGACGACGCGAAAGAAAGTTGTGATCCTGCGCCCTGCACTGCAGGCGGCCTGACCGCCCACCCCTAGTCGGGAACAGTTGGTGGGAATCTGTTCCGGCGAAATAGACGACGGAAGCAGGCTGCTGGTTCCGGCCGGCGCTCCCTCCCCCAGTGTAGGCCCGAGGACGTGTGACCCGATTCGAACCGTCATTAGAAACCACCCCAAGAGTCCCCCAAGGGGAGGGCCTGGGCCGGGGCTCGGCGTGTGTCCGTCAGTGGCGTAGCCGGGCGTTGCTGAACTCGGCGATAGTGGTGGAAACTTAAATTGTAAAGGGGTGGGGGACGTCTGGCTTGATAAAGGTTGTGCCGCTGGCTGATCAAAGATTTGCGATCCTGCCGGCTGTGCCCGCGGGCTGTGCCCTACCAGTGTGCTGCCCTCAAAGTGTCAGGGTCATTTCAATGTGGGCCATAGGGACTACAGAAATAGCTGAGAGCCGCCGGCATCCTGGCCCAAAAGCGTCGCTCTGTCTCACTCCAGCACCAGTGTGACGTTGCGTTGCCAGGTGCCCCGGTCGGCACGGCGGCACTCGTCCTGCTCCACAGCAAGTGAGGCTTGATGACGAAGATTGCACTGGAGGCGACGGGGCGAATGAAGATTTAGCGGTGTGCCCCGGCTGCTCGCGTCTGCGCTCGTTGTGTTTCCACCCTTCACGGCGTGGACGGCCGGATGCTGCGCAGCATGCAGTGGGACGTGGAAGAACGCGCGCGAGGACGGCAAGGCCGACGTCATCCACACCTGCTGCAGGGGCTGGCGGTGACGGCCACGAAGAAGGATGTAAAATGCCAGGCAATTGGTGTGTGCCTCTGGCATTGCCTCCGCCTCGGCCATGGCCGTGCCAGGATGTGTAAATGTCAGGCCACCTCAAGAGCCCCCCGAGAGGCTCCAGCCCAGAGGCCCTCCGAGAGGACGGCGGCCTGAGTGACCTCTTCCGCTGCACCGCGTCGCGTCGCCCGTCAGCCCGGCGACTTATTGGTTTCAAGTGTTTGCATTCCATTTTCTAATCCCGCTAACGCGACTCTTTGACGTGGCAAACACAACTAGCCAGCCAACTGCTTGTAAAAAAGTATGTACAGAAAAACAAGGTACGGAATATGTCTGGCCAATATTTACCTGAAGAACTAAGAAGGTTTCCGTACCTGTTTTACATGAAACCCTGCACTTTTCCCGTTTTTCAGACATTTTCCGTACCAAACTATGGCTTTTTCACAGCAGTGATCAGACTGCCCGCTACCGCGCCGCGACTGCATTTGTTGGTCATTTCCGCAAGCTAGCGGACGCGTCCCGGCTCCTGCACTGTCTTCCATAAATAACACTAAAAGCGGCGTTCGGGATCATTTTGTTGTTAATGCGATGAACAAGGAGCCAGATCGGCCGTAATCTGTCGCTTCCGTGCGCGGTCCCTCTGTGTGGCCCCGTCGCGCTGTCTCTCTCGCACTCGGGGCGTCCCGTATGGGTGCGAGAGAGACAGGGCCGAAAGACCAGCCACGCCCGGCCGCCGCTGCCAACGAGGTGGCGATGACGGTGTATTAAGGGACGGGTCGTGTTGCCTATAAATTGGGATGATCCTGGCTCTCCCACCTGACGCAAGCCCGCGCGTCTGTGTGTGTGTCTCTCTGTCTGTGTGACGTTGGTGTGCATCGGTGTGCGTGCTAGGCACCTGTCCTGGACAGTCCAAACACGTCCGCCCCGACGGAATGGTATCCCTGACAAGTCTTGCAGCTATTCCCCCCGTTTAAAGTAATTTTCTTTATCGCTGTCGGTTGTCGGTCATCTCGGTATCTAGTTTTGAAATTACAATATTTGACTCTGTGCACTCACGTGGCAGTGCCGTGCTGCCGCCATGCCGACACAGCAGGTCTGCCCGTGAGTGTACTAGACTGACTTCTTTTGATGGTGTAGTGCTTTCTGTAAGTCGGCCGCTTCGGCGTGACTCGCCCGAAGGTCCCGAAGGGTCGCCGAATGGTCCCCGAAGAATTCCCGAAGGGTCCATGATCCAATAAGTCGGTATTATTGTCCTTCCCGAGCGGCACAAGGACCAGGGTGATGAGACAGGCCGCACCGTGGGAGCCTTGGAAGTACATGACTTATGGTGGAGGTGCATGAGTTCACCTGACCTCTGCGTTGCCGCTGACACACGCGAAAATGGTGCTCGTTTGGCGGCAGGGTTCGGCAGGGTTCGCCCAGCGCTGTTGTGGTCCTAAGCTAACCCGCCACCGGCACTACCTACCGCCCTGGCCTTTGGGCACGAAGTGCACGAGGCTATTGCTGTCACCCGCAGCGCTGGGGGCAAGGGTCCGTCCACGAATCACGTAACGCCCTAGCTCCGTCCCTGTCGCACTTGCGGGCCGGCAACGCGGAGCGACCAGGACGGGGCGATTGGCTGGGGGGCTCATCCACGATCCTCAGCCATGCAAATGGCGACAAGTCCCATTCCCGCTGCCAAGGCTGCGCGGCACAACACGCGAGCCCTGTTGGACAAACAAACTCCAGGTGCCGATATCTCGCGATATCTCGAGAACGGCGAGCTTGGCGAGCCTCGTGCACAGGATGAAATCGTCAGGGCATCGAATTTTAAAAGGAAGTTGTCCCGCGCGGGAAGTCGCTAGCTCTCACCGTTCGGGAGCCATTTTAACTTTTGCAGGGCGGAAATCAGTTGGGCCTGTCGCCTGGCGCGAGCGCTAGGGCTCCCTTGTGGACACAGGCGGTCACTCAGGCGCGCTATGCGCACGCGAGCCGTGCTGGATTGCGTGTCCCGCGCGTCCTAGAGCTGCCCGTCACTCCGTCACCCGCAAGGCTGTGCGCAGGCCGTGCAGGTGACTGACATAACGCATGTCCTTATCGCTAATCGGCGACATCCAGCTCGTCACGTCGCGTCAAAACAAATATCTCGTCACGTGACGTGACGAGGAGCTAGCAGGCCGTCATCGTGACCGAGTGCCCCCTGGGGCCTCGGAGGGGCCCACTTGGCCTGATCACACGCGTCCCCCCATTTAGCCCTTCTTCGTGATGAAAAAAGTTGTCGCGTCCTGTGTCTTGAATTCCTCATCGGGGCCCTCCCTCTTCTT